CTATGGAAAACACTTGTAAATTTTGCTCAACTAAAGACTATTCTAAGAGTACCTCGATTTTTGCTATGCTAAAACCTTTTTTTATATGGAGAGAGCCCCCTTTAAATAGGGAAAGTTTGGGAATAAGTGGAGGTGAGGATGAAGTCTTTCCCACTTGTTGTTGAGTATTGAGTGGATAGTGTGAGACCTCTCCCACTTCTTGCAACACAATATCTTCAAGTACCAATGATTTTTTTTTTTTAAATTGGGCTCTGTCCAATAGAAATACCTTTTGGTCAAGGCCATTACAATATAGATAATTTTTTCAATAAGAAATAAAATTACATAATGGTTTATGTTTTGAGTTTGGTCCAAAAATGATTGAATCAAATCTTTGCTGATTCGAAACGGTCTTCTTCACCCCCAAATTGATGTCGGGTTCTGAAGAGTTTGATGCTCAAGGTGAGGATCTTTGTCTTTTGTTGCGGCTAATTATGCTTGGGCAAATGATTTTTGCGCCAAAAATTGTGTTGTTGTGGGATGCGTTTTTTGCAAGCCTCGTTGAAGCCATGTAGAAACAGATTTTGTCTTGATATTTGGTGGCATAGAGAATTTTGTCTTAACCTGATTTTGAATCTTCTAACTAGGATGGTTTGGGCTTCTTTTTGCTCATATTCAAAATACCACACTAGTACCCATAGTAAAAAGAAATTTGTAGAGAAACACATTAGACGGTGAAAAATATGTTCTCTGTCCGTGGGTTTGTAGTGAGTTTTATAGAGTTTGAAACATTCATTGAATTCTGGATTTAGGATATTTGGAATGGAGTCATATAGTTTCCACCAATGGGCAAACTAGTAAGGAATTTTTGTGTGGTCCATGGTAAGGTTAAAGAAAAATAGCCAAGTATGGCTAAATCTTTGGTTTTGTACAAGGAATGCATTCAACCATGCTTGTTGGTAGTCTCAGTATGTGAAAGTCCTACAATGGTTAATTGTAGTTTTGAAATCGAGTGAAAATGTTTTGGTGTATGACTGCTTGTTTCCCAATGTGAAGGTGGAATGATTTTGTGGATTTTTTCTGATGGAGTAGGCTACTGGGCCGTCTTAGGAGTTTTCTTGAAATGTTACAGAACCTGTTAATTCAATGATGGAACTGTAATAAGGATGGGGTTTGAATAAATCCCATTGTTTAAAATTGTCCAAACATTTTGAAATTCAATTTTGATGAAATACTCAGATTGTGGTTTAAAGTTTGTCAAGGTAATCTAAGATTCATTTTGGGTTAAACATATTTTTGAAAAGTCCTCTTGCGGAGTTTTTGAGATGATTTTACTAGGTGAATTCTCATGTGGTGGTTCTGAAAGAGTATTTTTGGAAGAGGTTTTGGATTATGATGACTCTCCCTTCCTAGGATTTTGAAAAAGTACGAGCCCTTTGGAAATGCATTCAATTTCTTGCTACAATTTTTGCAGTCTCGTGATCTTTTGTAGCCGAAGTTTTTCTTCCGTTATTGAAGCTTCTAGTGCTTCAATGTTTTGTGGTTTTGTCACTTGACGGTTGGCAAACCATTCCTGTACAGGCTTTGGGTTCCATCATTCTCTTCAACGGCTTGTGCGCATGATTTGATTGGTTTTGCAGAAGAAATGGGTTTTGGGGTTTCTTCCTCTTGGTCCTTTTGGACCTCTTTACTTCTAGTTTTTCGTGACATCATTCAAGTCCTATTTTGGAAAAACTCTATGGTTAGAATGTCTGGAATTGAGTTTTGATCTCCTGTAATAAATTCAATATCAAAATAAAAAGGCTAAAGGGTCAATTAGGCCCCTGAACGTATACGAATTGCTCAATTGGCACCCCCAACCCAAAAAAGCTCCAAACCAATACACCAACCAAATTAATTACTTCAATCCCCCCATCCAACCGGTTACCTCCCGGTTGTCCCCCTTTCAACCAGAAACTGGAGCTCCAAACTACCATTAATGGCGGAAATCAGAGAGCTCTCAGCCGGTGGGGGTTCCCACGACATCGGACCAGATGGATGAGTGGTCAGTGGTTGGCCGCTGATGACGAACGGCGGTGTGGCGGATGGAGGAGCCAACGACGAGCCACGAGCATCACTACGGCTGGCGGCGTTTCTCCGGAAATGGAGCGGCAAGACCTGGGGCGCTTCAGAGAGCACCACTTGGTGCAGGTGGCCTTACCGGAGGGTTCATGGCGGTGCGAATGACGACGGCGGCTCCGGTGACCCTTGGGGATAACCCTTGGTGCGCAGTACTGTTCACAGGCGTAAGGGGGACAACCGGGAGGTAACCGGTTGGATGGGGGATTGAAGTAATTAATTTGGTTGGTGTATTGGATCGGAGCTTTTTTGGGTTGGGGTGCCAATTGAGCAATTCGTATACGTTCATGGGCCTATTTGACCTTTTAGCCAAATAAAAAATACTAATTAAGTATTGCCTGACAAACAAACAAACAAACAAACCAACAAACAAACATCCAAGCCTTAATCCCAAAAGAATTTGGGGTCGGCTAACATGAATCGATCTATGATATCGAAGCCAAACAGAGAAGACGAACAAGAAAGGGAATAAAAAAATAAAATAAAATGAATGAAATAAAGATAAATAAATATAAGATAACAATAACACAAGAATATAAGAAAGATATAAGATAAAATATAAAAGAGCATAAAAAGCTAGAAGATAAAAATAACATAAGAATATAAAAAGATAAATAAGATAAACGATAAAAGAAAAAAGAGAGGAAAAGTAGAAAAGACATTAATCGTCTACACAGATATGTGCCTTCCACTTTGCTCTCTCCAAAGTCAGACTCTCATCCAACCCAAGAAGATGTATATCGGTTCTGATTCATATAATACAAGTCTGTTTGGGTCCTCTCCCCCCTCCAATCCAACCCTAAGCGGCGAGCTCCTGGATGAACTAATTGTTTGTCTTCTTCTCTCACATTAGCAAGAGTTTTGATGATTGTGATGTTCTCCGAACAGTAATGTATCAAAGGTTTTGTTATGCTGTCTCTCTTTTTTGATTTCTATCTTCTAGAATTCTGGTTTTGGTCCAGCATCTTCTTTGACCGAGAGTAGAAATATGGATGGATTAGATATCACTTTTAGTCACGTATAAAATACGCTTTCCTAAAAGTTTATTGTCTACCCTAACAGTAACCAGGTTACAAGATATAACTTTTGGGATAAAAAGAAGGTGTACAAGTGTATTTTAGTTATTGATAAAATAACACTTAACAAGTGATTTAAATATAAATTAAAGTGGTCTAAACACTTTATTACTAATACTGCAGATAAGAGTAATAGAGTAAAACAATTAGAGAAGATTGACAAAATGAATTTTTGCCGTCAACCTCTAATTCACATGATCTTGATATATATATATGTAAATGGTGACTCTATCAGAAGAGGTTATCTTTCTATATACAAAACGCAGTGGAAAGGCAGGTCATTTTCCCGCCCATTTCCACTGCATAAAATGGGTCAAGTCGGTAGAAACGGGTTGAACAGCTAAGGTCAACTTAAAATTGGATCGATGCATTTAATGTTACTTCCTTTAGCAGTTTTAATCAATAGAAAACATGCTTAATGGGTTAAAGAATAGCCATTAATTATTATTGTAGCAGCCTGTCTTTTCAAAACTTTTTTAACAGTAAATGAAAAAGTACTTTAATCCTTTAACAAGCAAATAAAAATACGGCCATCATTTTGATTTAGAGCTACGTTCGCAGTATACCATCTTTTCAAATCTTTTTCATGCATTTAATGAAGGGTACTTTCATATCCTATTATGCAGCACAAGATTTTTGAATTGATCTCTAAAGTACAGTGACATTAAATGCTTTGCAACTACTTGAGATAATTTTGAAGTATAGTGTGAAAGATACAATCCGTTGGTTATTAAGTGTTTATTGCCTGTTGGATATTAAAGTAGTGCAAGCCTCACGTGCAGTATAAATAGGCTAACCTATTCAGTTCAATTGTCATCCCACACTCTCACAGCATCATACAGTATCACACAACATATTTCAATGGTAGAAAATCAAGGAATGTACTCATTCCTCAGAGGTAGTATGAGACCATTTATTCTATCTACTGCATTAAAATAATTCATTTTGTTTAAAAAACTATATCTTTGATTCCTGCAGGGTGACAAAATCCACAGTTTAATACAGTTCATATATATTAAATATTTATATAATTATCCAATAATAATTGCACTTATATGTACAATTTGTATGTGTAGTTATAGCATACGTAGATATTGTAGTGTGCAGAAGCACATTTCAAGCTTAATGTGTGTGTTTTAGTGTTCAGAAGCACATTTCAGAACGAGCATTTAATACTATTTCAAAAAATCACAAAATAATTTTGAATACAAAGAGGGAGCATATAAATTTAACTTGCTATGACTGAGCATATTTCTTATACACACTACCCACAAGTTTTGGAACGTAGTTATTTATTTTCCAAGGCTATTGATAAAAGCTATTGAAACCAAAACTTTTTAAAAACAGTCATCCAAATAATAGTAAAAGATAATCAATACTTCATAATTCATGTTTAAGTTCTGATCTAAGGACTTTCTGTTGGAAAACAATAAAAGAGGCCTAATATGTAATTAATTAAAATGTGTTTACCATCATATAAATAATACATTGGCTATTCATGAAATAATAAAAGTGTAGATACTAGGATAATATATTTCTTTTGGTGACGGGTCAAATTAAATTTTATACACTATAGTGAAACAACGGTTATGACCCCCGGTGTGTGTAAATTAAGAGATAACAGTAAAGATATTGTAACGGAAAATGACCTAATAAATTATTCTAAATAATATCATTATTGCAACAATAATTAAAGAATTATTATTAGGAATAAGAAGAGCCAACCATTACCATATACCTAGTCCTATAAATATCCCATATATTATAGGATTAGGATTATCTCATATTCGATACACTGCATCGGAAGGTTTAGCCTACTAGCGGTCTTGGATTTCTGGGTTCTTCCAAAAGTGTTAATGCAAATGAATTCTCAAGGTATTGTTCTAATCTTGTTTCATACATATTTAATTTCATTGATTTATATGGATTTAGCTATTATATATTTATATATATATATATTGCATATGGAGCCTTGTTGATATATATATATATATATATATATATATATATATATATATATATATATATATATATATATATATATATATATATATATATATATATATATATATATATATATATATGAATATCCATCAATTGGTATCAGAGACTACCATTATAAATTCATGGAATTTTTTGTATTTGGAATTGAGTTCCTCGTGATATGATGTCTGGGAATTTTTGTTTGATGGTATCTGAAGTTTCTTCTTAATGTATGTTTTTTGGAATGAAGCAACTGATAAAGTTATGTGCATGCAATTACAGATTGAATAATTAAATTCTCAAGACTTTTCCGCTGCACGTTATGCTTACGGATTCATGTCTCAATCTTTAATTTTTAATTCAATGCTTCCGTTTTTTTTTGTTTAAAACTTTGATATACTACTCCGTTAGTTGTATTTTCAAATCAATTTTGCACACGTGGATACTGCCGCTTCCTGTTATTGCACCACTTGGAGTTAATTCTTAGCATGATATAATACTACGTACATAACAAATATAGTGTTAAAGCACTATTTTTGCACGTGTGCATATATAGTGCAAATTGAATCCAATTGTTCCATTAGTGAAATCTGTCCAGTAACTTCATAATCATATTTTATCAATTTTTTGATATTGAAATGCTGGAAATCTGCTAATGTTATATGAAATATTGTTTTTTTGTATATCTGAGAAGCAATCTGGTTATTTTAAAATTTGATTAATATCAAGGTATCACTTTATTCAAATTTTATAAATTCAATCGCTGCTGGTTATGTATAATTCAACAACAAAAATTTGTTTGCCGCAAGCTAATGTTAGGATTCATGAAATTGATTGAAAGCTAATATGATTGTGGTAGTCTATGGACTCATAAAATTGTAAAATAAGGGGAGTTTAATATTTAAATGGGTATATAGAAATAATATGACACCAAAGTGATCCTATTGTTTAAGTTGCTCATATAAAATATTAGACATAGTATATACTTTGTATATAATTCAAGAAAATATTAATCGGCCCAAAGGAAGATTAATATTTTATCAAGTTACATATATACATTTTGGTAATAATAAAAATATAACAATTATAAGATTTCACTTTTAAGAAAAAGTCAACCCAAAGGTGGATTTTTCTTTTATATGTATTGTTATATTTTATTATTACAACAAGAGTACCACTGACAATTAGTATTATTGTCCAAAGATGAAATACTAATGGTGCATTTGGTATCTTGTGATGGGTTAAAATCATTTTACAATTTCACTAAAATATATGTTTATTGTCTTGTTCTTTCTACAGTTAATTTTTCGAACATATCTGCCAATCTCAACTCCATCCTTGTCCTAAATGGTACTAACTTTAAGGAATGGAAAGAAAATATTCTAATAACTTTGGGCTGCATGGATCTTGACTTAGCATTAAGGGTAGAGCAACCCGCTTCTCTTACGGATGCTAGTACCCAAGAGGAAACAAGGTACTATGAGAAGTGGGATCGCTCGAATCGCTTAAGTCTTATGATCATAAAGCGTGGCATTCCAGAATCCTTTAGGGGTGCTGTATCCGATGAGGTTACTAATGCCAAGGATTTCCTTTCTGAAATTGAGAAACGTTTTGTTAAAAGCGATAAGGCGGAAATAAGCATGTTGTTAAAAGACTTTACTTCCAAAAGGTATTCAGGAAAAGGAAATATAAGGGAGTATATTATGGAAATGTCTTATATTGTTTCTAGGCTCAAGACACTTACGATTGAGATATCAGAAGATGTTCTCGTACACATAGTCTTGAACTCTCTTCCTATTGCATTTGATCCTTTTAAGGTTAGTTATAACTGCCAAAAGGAGAAGTGGTCTCTTAATGAGCTCATTTCATATTGTGTGCAAGAGGAAGAGAGGATGAAACAAAATAAGATAGAAAGTGCTCACTTGGCTAGTACCTCTAAGGATAAGGGTAAAAAGAGGAAGAAAACTCCCATTAAGAATGAAGCTGCTAAAGGTACAGTACAGATGAAACATAAGGAAGGTGAAACAACCTGTTTCTTCTGTAAAAAGGCTGGACACATGAAGAAAGATTGTACCAAGTATCACGCCTGGAAAGTGAAGAAAGGTACGGTCCTTACCTTGGTTTGTACTGAAAACAATTTAGCTTCAGTGCCTAGAAATACTTGGTGGTTAGACTCTGGTTCAACATCTAACATCAGTATTTCTATGCAGGGTTGTCTGAGCCACCGCAAGCCAAATGATGTTGAAAGATGTGTCTATGTGGGAGATGGCAAAGCGGTGCATGTGGAGGCTATTGGGTATTTTAGATTGTTATTATCCACCGGTTTCTATTTGGATTTAAAAGACACTTTTATTGTTCCGTCATTTAGGCGGAATTTGGTTTCTGTTTCTTATTTGGACAAATTAGGTTATCATTATTCATTTATTCCTTTGGAAACTTCCGGTTTAATTTGTCTTTAAATTCAAGTATTGTGGGGACTGGTTCTTTTATGTCATATGACAATCTTTACATGCTTGAAAAAATAACTTCATATAATAATGCTTTGAATGTTGACATCCGAGGCACTAAGCGAAAGGTTGATAATGCACAATCTGATTTTTTATGGCACAAATGATTAGGTCACATCTATAAAAATAGAGTTGAACGTCTTGTGTCCGATGGAACACTTAATTCCATTGATTTTTCTGATTTCAATACTTGCATTGAGTGCATTAAAGGAAAACAAACCAAAAATAAGAAAAAAGGTGCATATAGAGCTACGGATGTCTTAGAATTAATACACACGGATATTTGTGGGCCATTTCCTACTCTTCATGGAATGGTCAACAATATTTTGTGTCATACATAGACGATTACTCTAGATATGCATACTTATTTCTTATACATGAAAAATCTCATGTCTTGGACGTGTTTAAATCTTACAAAGCGGAAGTTGAGAATCAACTCAACAAACGCATAAAGAAAGTCAAATCCGACCATGGTGGTGAATATTATGGGAGGTATAACGGCTCAGGTGAACAACGTCCAAGGCCTTTTGCCAAATTTCTAGAGGAATGTGGGATTGTCCCTCAATACACCATGCCGGGTTCACCTAGCATGAATGGCGTAGCTGAGAGACGTAATAGAACCCTTAAAGAAATGGTAAGAAGTATGATTTCTCATTCTATCTTACCGGAATCCCTCTGGGGTGAGGCATTAAAGACCGCAGCTTACATTCTTAATCGAGTGCCAACTAAAGCAACTACTAAAACACCTTATGAGCTTTGGACGGGTAAAAAGCCCAGTTTAAAGCATTTTCATATTTGGGGTTGTCCAGCTGAGGCAAAGCCGTATAGGCCACATGAAAAGAAACTGGAACCCAAAACAGTTAGTAGTTACTTTATTGGTTACTCGCAACGATCTAGGGGATATAAATTTTATAATCCTGAGGATAAAAATATTTTTCAAACGGGAACTGCCATATTTTTCGAGGATGTTGAGTTTGGAGGGAAGAATAAAGTTAGGGATATTGTCTTTGAGGAAGAATTGATTTCAATACCTGAACCAATTCAAATGGATGTTTCTTTTGAAACAATGAAGAACCTCAACAAGGCATTATTTCATCTTCTCCTCTCCAAACTGAACAAATTGTTCAAAATGAACAAACTCAACTTCCTCTAGAACAAGTGCAACAAAAAAATGTGCCATTGTGGCGATCCAGTAGAGAAAGGAGATATGCAATTCCAAATGATTATGTTGTATATCTCCAAGAACATGTGTCAAGCATGGATACAGTGAATGATGTCTTTGTGTTTATTCAAGAACATGAGGAAGAAAATGGTGTTATGGAAGATGATCCAATCAACTTCCATCAAGCCATGAAAAGTTCAAATTCTCAAAAGTGGATTGTGGCAATGAATGAAGAGTATAAATCTATGCAAGACAATAAAGTTTGGGAACTCGTCCCATTACCTGAAGGTTGTAAACTCATTGGTTGTAAATGGATATTTAAAACCAAAAGGGATTCAAGGGGTAATGTGGAGAGATATAAAGCTTGTCTTGTAGCTAAAGGTTATACTCAAAAAGAAGGAATTGATTATAAAGAGACCTTTTCTCCGGTTTCATCAAAGGACTCTTTTAGGATCATTATGGCTTTAGTTGTACATTTTAATCTAGAGCTTCATCAGATGGATGTTAAGACAACGTTTCTCAATGGCGAAATCGATGAAACTATTTATATGGTGCAACTAGAAAATTATGTGATAGGAGATCCAAAACAAATGGTTTGCAAATTAACAAAATCCATTTATGGGCTGAAACAGGCTTCTCGACATTGGTATCACAGATTTCATCAAGTCATTTTATCTTTTGGTTTTAAGATGAATGATGTAGATGATTGTGTACATCATAAGTTCAGTGGGAGTAATTTTTTTCCTGGTCTTATATGTTGATGACATTCTTCTTGCCACAAATGACATAGGCATATTGCATGAAACAAAGAGATTTCTATCAAAACATTTTCAAATGAAAGATCTTGGTGAAGCCTCCTTTGTATTAGGAATTGAAATCCTTCGTGAGAGATCATAAGGAATCTTAAGGTTATCACAAAGGAACTATGTCGATAAAGTTCTTAAAAGATTTGGCATGGAAGATTGTAGATCGGGTGATACCCCTATCTCTAAACGAGACAAGTTTAGTCTCGATCAGTGCCCTAAAACAAATCTAGAAATTCAAGAAATGAAAAAGATTCCCTACGCATCTGTTGTAGGAAGTCTTATGTATGCCCAAGTTTGTACGCTTCCGGATATTGCGTACATTGTTGGGATGCTAGGCAGATATCTCAGTAATCCAGGAATGTCTCATTGGGTGGCGGCCAAAAGAGTTATGAGATACTTTAAGAGAACAAGGGACTATATGCTTACATATAGAAAACCAGATCATTTGGAGGTCGTTGGATACTCCGACTCTGATTTTGTCGGCTGCAAAGACACTAGTAGATCTATTTCAGGTTATGTTTTTCTACTAGCGTGTGGTGCTGTATCTTGGAAAAGTGTTAAGCAAGATATGATAGCTACCTCATCTATTGGCCTTTATTGATGGGCTAAATATATTAAATCAAGTACCAAAGCCTATCAAGATATTTTGTGACAGCAATTCTACGGTGCTTTACTCTAACAACAACAAGAGCTCGAGTAAGACAAAACACATTGAAGTGCAATATCGAGCTTTTAAAGAAAGGGTTCAGAATAAAAGGGTTGCTATTGAACATATAAGTACAAACTCCATGCTAGCGGATCCTTTAACCAAGGGTCTCCCACCAAAAGTTTTTTATGAGCACACTGCTCACTTGGGAGTCATTGATTTTAAGGAACATCGAGTTTAGTGGGAGTTTATAAGTTATGTTTGATGTATTTGTTTTCTGCTTAGAATAAAGTTAGACATTTGGTGTGTTCTGAATAATTAAGTTATTAAAGTTTAAAGTTTATTAAAGAAGGGTCAGTTGAAAATTGACACGTACACATGCCACATTTCATGTAATTTTCATGCTACACATTTCATGATTGATCTATGTCATTATGTTATATTGATACTAGTAATCATTGGTGGTAACCGTGGTATAGTTATGTTTAACATGACAAAATGCTGCAATGGTTCTATATTAGTATGTATGATGGACAAGATTGTTTAAGGATGCTATTTTGTATGATGGTATTTTTTGAGCTCATAAAGATAACACATTTTATTAAGAATTACATACAAGGCCCGGTGGGAGATTGTTGGAAAACAATAAAAGGGGCCTAATATGTAATTAATTAAAATGTGTTTACCATCATATAAATAATACAGTGGCTATTCATGAAATAATAAAAGTGTAGATACTAGGATAATATATTTCTTTTGGTGACGGGTCAAATTAAATATATTACACTATAGTGAAACAACGGTTATGACCCCCGGTGCGTGTTAATTAAGAGATAACAGTAAAGATATTGTAACGGAAAATGGCCTAATAAATTATTCTAAATAAAATCATTATTGCAACAATAATTAAGGAATTATTATTAGGAATAAGAAGAGCCAACCATTACCATATACCTAGTCCTATAAATATCACATCTATTATAGGATTAGGATTATCTCATATTCGATACACTGCATCGGAAGGTTTAGCCTACGAGCGGTCTTGGATTTCTGGGTTCTTCCAAAAGTGTTAATGCAAATGAATTCTCGAGGTATTGTTCTAATCTTGTTTCATACATATTTAATTTCATGGATTTATATGGATTTAGCTATTATATATTTATATATATATTGCATATGGAGCCTTGTTGATATATATGTGAATATCCATCACTTTCATCTCCAAGCAACAAATTTTAGACATGTTTACTTATAATTTACGAAAATCACGTTCTACTATCAATGTTCTAAAATATTTCTATTTTAATAAAATTACAGCCTTATTCTATCAACAACCAACAAAGCAATTGCATTGAGAGGGAGAGTTATAGGGGCCATCGAAGTTCATATAAATTAAAGGGGTGGGGAGAACTAAATAAATCCATGAAGAGGTATATCATTTCTATCTTACAACACTTTTTAAGAAGATGCAATTATTGCATGTTTTCATAGTTATGTTCATCTCAGGCTAACATTCACTTAAATTGAATGGGAGAATATATGGCTAATATGGCAAATTAAATCTACATATTGAAATTACATAGCCTGCAAGACCAATCTTTCTATATACAAAGAGCTGTGGAACTGCAGGCCATTTTCCCGCCCGAGAACGAGTCAAGTCGGGTCAAAAACGGGCGGACAGCTCAACTCAAGAAAAGCATTTAATGTTTGTTTGAAAACTTTTCCAAGCATTAAATGCAAAGTAGAATACGACTGAGGAGACTTTTGGCAGTTGTTCTATATATCTCATTTCTTAACAAAGGATTTTAGAGATGATCTTAAAGTACATATGCATTTAATGTATTACAACTCAGGCACACTTCATGAGGTAATTTTACAGTTGTCCATCTTATCAAATCTTTTAACCGTGGTCTTCAAAGTACGGTGACGTTAATTGGTTTAAAGTTACTCAAGCTAATTTCAAAAATCGATTGCAATACAAATCCGTTGGTTAATAAGGTGTTCATTGCCTACCAGATAATAAACCAATCTGTTTATAACATACAACCCAACCTCCCGTATAAATAGGACTACTTATTCGGTTCAATTGCATCCCACAATCACACAACATCGCACAACATAAAAAATGAAGCTCACAAAACACACCAATATCAACCGTAAAGAGAGGGAACAAGGAGATAGTTGATCAAGGTATCTAAATGATTATCAACTGTA